GTGATATTAGGCCAAACGTTCACACTGATACGATCCGATGTTATCTTATACCACAAACGTTTTGCTTGGGCTTGGTGTAAGTGACTGTATGTTATTATTATTGCCACATAAAGTGCCACTGCTATGAACGGAGTTGCTATCAGTGGGTCCTTTTATGGTTACTGAGCTGCAGAGCGACCCTGCTTGAGCTGGAATGACTGATACAGCGGATTCCTCAGCTAATTCCATGCCAGTTTAGTCCCATTTTATCGCTCCCCCTGCCTTCCACTAAAACAGGATAGTGACTTTGAGATTATTCATTACATAAGGCAGAAAATAAATCATGTATTAGCGCTATATATTATGAGGAAAAAGTATGCTATATGACACAAAAAGTATTTGGCGCTGTATAGAAATGCTTCGATTTACTACTATGCTTGTGACACATAATTTTGCTCAGCTAGGTGGATTAACTAAAGAATGCGAAGGAAAAAAATATCTAAAACCAGAATAAATATTCCAGGCTGCTTCCCTTTATTCAACTCTGTGTGCATGGACATTGGTGATTCGGACACGTACCATTTCCTTTTCATTATTCATCCTCCCAGAAGCTAGACAGACTAGAATTGTGCTAAGGTATGTTATGAAAAAGTAATGAATTCTCCGCCATATGCACCCTCCCCACACTGTGCTCCATTGTAGCAATATAGCAACTCCCTAAGGCTTTGGTCCAAGGAGGAGCCCAGCATCACCCTCCTTGAAGCACATCCATTTTCATCCCAGACCAGGGAGCATCAGTGGGCATCCTTCTGGTACCAATACAATTTAGATCGGTGAGCACTGGCTGAGTACATATGGTGTGCCAGACACCGCACTAGGGTCTACAGTGGATACAATGTGATGTCTGGTTTTGCAGCTCTCATAACTAAGTTGAACTATAAAGAACTTTAAGATACTGTATTAAGAACTATCATTACATGTGGCCTCCCCAACAAGAAAAACGTTGTTCAGCCACCCCTGTAATGATGTATCTGGCCTGTGTGCTCTGACCATTAGGTTCTCATTTTAATTTAGAGTTGAGTCCATTCTAACTTTGGTAAAATTCAACAGTTTTCTGCCCAGGACTTAATAAAAATCAATGAAAAGGACTAAACAGTCGGGTTGGACCCACAACTTAAAATAGATTCGATGTAATTTACTAAATAGGTACTAAAAAGTATATGCATGTTGATTATACATGTATATGCAGTATTAAAGTTTAATAACTAAGCCATAACTAGTATGCACAGCTAACTAAAATTTAATTAAAATATGAGCAGTCTTGCTAACAGTGTCGCCCAAAGGGATGTCACCATCATGGTGGGGTCTAGTTCTTTTCAGCTTATTTCCAGGTTCTATATCTGTCTGCTCAGTCCCTTCGGTGGGTCTAAAACTGGTCCCATGCTAGACCATGTGCTTAGTTTTTTTATTCCAAGGCTGACATACTGTTACAGAAAATTATTCTCTTTTTCTGTCATTGCTCTCAAGGTTCACGTCTTAAGTCTTCACTTAAGACTTCACTATATTTCATTATATTTCACTACAGTCCAAGCTTTTGTTGTTCCTAATTTTGCTGTTGCCCAAACGTGTGCAGTGCTGGACTGTAGGATACTCACTATTCTCCACCGTCCGCTCTGCATTACTGTCTGTTCCAGCCACATAGATTCCTTGTCAGTACTGAAATTTAGTGATGTGAGGGGTTCTGTAGAACACCCCAGCTCTCAGGAAGGGAAAGAAGAGCTTCCAGGCTAAGTGCTTTCTGAAAAGTTTTCTGCATTGTGAGGGAGTTATTGATGCGCTTCTTTCTTCCTGGGGTTTTTGTGAGTAATCGATACATGAACGTTTATGTGAAGTCTGTAGTGGGATGACATGATGAACAATGTAGCATGGGAACACAGAGAAGAAAACGATGACTTCTGAAACGACAGTGCTGTTTGATGATAATAGTTAGAAATTTTGGTCTGGCAGAGGATGTATGGAAGGGCATTCCAAACATAGGGACTAGCAGAGACAAATACAGTAATTTGTTGAAGTGAGTGGCATGGTTAAAGAATGTGTGGTCCCTGGGTGTGACTGGAGTACAGGTAGATTGAGATGAGATAAAGCTGGAGATGGAACAAGATTTTCGAAGTCCTTGAATGTCATGGTAGAGATTTTGGAATTTGTCCTTTAAAAAAAAATCTGTCCTTTGACTTTTGCCTAAGCAGGTTTTGACATGATCTAATTTCCTTTTTCCAAAGGAAATTGACTGCAATAGAGTAGGTGGACCAAGATGGTGAAGAACAGTGGCAGGTGGACCAATTAGGGTCACTGCAGTAATCCAGATGAGAGACTATGAACATCTCAGTGAGGAAGGTAGCAGAGAGAGTGGGAGAGTATGTCATTTCAGATGTAGATTAAAGGGACTTAAAACAAATTGTGTGAAGGATGAAGAAAAAGGAGGATCAACGCTGAAGTTTGGGTTTCTGAATTGGATGACTGGGTAGATTGTGATGTCATTAATCCAGATTAAAAATATAAGAGGTGGATGAATTTCTGCTGTAGGGGGATTTGGAGGACGGGGAAAGATAGAGATACCACTCTAGCCTAGAGTAATCCTTAGCTCATGGCGTGACATCTAGTCATCCCCCTTCTAAAGCAATATCAAGGGACAAGGTCATTTCTATGGCCAATATGAGGAATGAAGCTTAGTTCAGCCAATGCAGGGAGGATGTAGATAGGATTATTGGCTCTGATACTTTACTCCTTGCTATATCCATACCCTTGATCTTGTATCTTTGCAGTGCCTCCCACAAAAGACACAATGTACTTTCATTTCTCTTGGCTTTGAGTTTGACCAATGACATGTTAGTAAATGTGATGCAAGCAAGGGTTTGAAATGTGCTTGTGCGGTGGGGCTTGCTTGTCCTTTTGTACTTCACCTATCACCATCAGGAGTGCTTTCCCCTGGGTCGCTATTTGCCCTTCACGCAGGTTCTACAGAGAACATTTATGAAGCAGAGCCAATGCAGCAGCCACAGCTTGAAGCCAAAACACCCAAGCCCACATGAGGAAATAAATAACTATTTTATGCCACTGGGTTTTGGTGTATTTTGTTATGCAGTGAAAACTAACTGATACAGCCAGTAAGTGAAAAATATGGTTAAGGGTGGTGATCCTCTCAGCTTCTCTTCAGCCCTCCTAAGGTTGAGGGAGGCTGGCAGAGCCCCCAGCTGATCAAATGCTGGTCTGAACAGCAGATGGTGCAACCACAGATGAGGTTAAACAGATCTAGTCACATTAGTGATGGGACCCTTCATGGGTTTTCAGCCACCATTCAAAAAGCATCCATTTATGCTCATGAATGGCAATGTGCTTGTGTTTCACAGATGACTAGGAACGGAAATTCCACTACTAGTAGTGGATTTTTGCAAACCTTAATTACTCCCGAATCAAGAAGTTCTTGCTATTTTGAATCTCAATTTCTTATTCCATCCTAACTCTTAAATTATTTACACAGCAGGCTGGGGGGAGTTCATTTTCTTTTCTGCAGATGTAAACTGTCTGGTCAGATACCAACTTTAAATTCTTCAAGACAAGTATTAAGTAGACCTTTGGCCTTTCTTTCTCTGGGTAAACAATCCAAACTCATTTAACCTTTCCTCAGAGGTTCAATTTGCCAATTACTGACTGTTTCTTTGCTCTTTTCAGAACCCTTTTCTACTTTGTTATATGTCTTCTAGGTTGTAAAGACCAAAATTGGAATGATCTTTACATCTGAACTGGTGCTAAGTATAATCCCTTTATTCTTGGGTCTTTGAGAAGGTGCCAGGTCAGACAGCTTAAGGTTGGATTGGCTTCAATTGCACAGTTATAGAGGGTCTGTGCTCTCCTTGGATTTCCCAGCCACACATGGGACTCCCCATGTTGTATCTTTGGCATTGATTCTTGATACTTCAAAGTCTTAATCTGTATTTTGTCTTTGCCATGATCACTCTAGGTTGTCAATGGTTGTTCTTTGTTTATTTTATTTTATTTTTTTTGCGGTACGCGGGCCTCTCACTGTTGTGGCCTCTCCCATTGCGGAGCACAGGCTCCGGACGCGCAGGCTCAGCAGCCATGGCCCACGGGCCTAGCCGCTCCACGGCATGTGGGATCTTCCCGGACCGGGGCACAAACCCGTGTCCCCTGCATCGGCAGGCAGACTCTCAACCACTGCGCCACCAGGGAAGCCCGTTCTTTGTTTTTTTTTGTAGTCCTTATGCTGAAACCATGATTTGTGTAATCTAGATTTGAGATTTCAAAAGTTAAAGACAGACACATTAGTTAGGGGGAAGGGTGAGCTGTGACAAAGCGAGAGAGAAGCGTGGACATATATACACTATCAAACGTAGGGTAGATAGCTAGTGGGAAGCAGCCACATAGCACAGGGAGATCAGCTCGGTGCTTTGTGACCGCCTGGAGGGTTGGGATAGGGAGGGTGGGAGGGAGGGAGACGCAAGAGGGAAGAGATATGGGAACATATGTATATGTATAGCTGACTCACTTTGTTATAAAGCAGAAACTAACACACCATTGTAAAGCAATTATACCGCAATAAAGATGTTAAAAAAAAAAAGAAAAGACAGACACATTAGGTAATTAGAATGAAGACACACCACTCTTGTAATACTAATCAAAGATAGTAATACTTAGTGACTTACTAAGTATAAATATTATGCAAAGGTAGTTAAATAATACCATAAGGTATTATTATTAGTAATACCATTTGGTATTTCCTGCCCAAAGGAAAACTGCAAAATGGCATAATTTCCCACTTTTGTAAAAGGGTTCCCCCAAAAAAATGAGGTGAGGAAAATTAACAATACTCGTAATAGCTAATGTTTATTGAATAATAACAATGTTCTGGGTGCTGTACTGTTTTCATGTCTTAGGTTAGGCTCCCCCCAAAAGACTCAGAGATTAGGAATTTGTGTGAATGACTTATTAAGTTGTGTTCCCAGGACAAACCAGGAAGGAAGTGGAGAAAGTAGGACAGGAAAGGGAAGAAGTCAAGCAAGAAATTTCAGGTGTGCAATTTTCCCCTGGAGGAGCAAGATCACTTCCAGTTGAGAATGACTAAGGTAAGCCACCAAAACACCGTGGTATTGGTAGCAAAATGGACACATAGACCAGTGGTATACAACAGAGTCCAGAAATATACCTATATGGTCAATTGATTTGCAATGAAGGGGGAAAGGTGATTCCATTGAGAACGATAGTCTTTTTAACAAATGACGCTGGAATAATTGGCAGTCAATATGTAAAAAATAAATAAACAATGAACTTCAGTTCATACCTCACATTATACACAAAAATATATTAACTAAAAATAGATCATGGGCCTAAATGCAAAACTTAAAACTATGAGACTTCTAAAGGAAAACATAAGAAAAAATCTTCAGAACCATGGATTAGGCAGAGATTTCTTAGATATCACAAAAAATATAATCCATAGAAGAAAAAATTGTTATATTGTATTTTATCAAAATTAAGAATGTCTGCCCTTTGAAAGACTTCCTAAGGAGGAAAAATCAAGCCACAAACTGAGAAAATATTTGCAAATCTGATAAAGGACTTGTACCCACAAGATATACAGAACAGTCAAAATTCAACTATAAGAAAGCAAACAACCCAATAAAAATGGGAGAGTTTTGAAGATATGTACATGGCAAATACTTATGTTAAAATGTTCAACATCGTTAGTCTTTTGGTAAATGCAAATTAAAACCACAAAGAGCTATCACTTCAAATCTACTAGAATGGCTATAATAAAAATACAGACAATTACAAGTGTTGGTGAGGATGTGGAGAAAATGGAATCCTCTTCAGCTGATGGTGGGAATGTAAAATGGAACACCCACGTTGAAAACTAGTTTGTGCTTTCTTGAAAAGTTAAATATATATTTACCATATTACCCAGCAATTCCATACTGAGATATCTACTTAAAAACCAAAACAAAGGGCTTCCCTGGTGGCGCAGTGGTTGAGAGTCCGCCTGCCGATGCAGGGGACACGGGTTCGTGCCCCGGTCCAGGAAGATCCCACATGCCACGGAGCGGCTGGGCCCGTGAGCCATGGCCGCTGAGCCTGCGCGTCCAGAGCCTGTGCTCTGCAACGGGAGAGGCCACAACAGTGAGAGGCCCGCGTACCGCAAAAACAAAAACAAAAAAAAACAAAACAAGAAACAAAAGAAACAAAATATATGTCCACACAAAGACTTGTATACAAATGTTCATAGCAACATTATTCATAATTGCCCAAGAGTAGAAACAATCTAAATTTCCACCAACTGTGGAGTGGAGAAATAAAATGTGTTATAACCATACAATGGGATACTATTCAGGACATAAAAGTAAGAAATTATGATTCATGCTACAACATGGATAAACCTCAAAACTTTTTTGCTAATTAAAAGAAGCCAGACACAATGATCACGTATTATATGATTCCATCTATATGAAACCCCCCAAAAGGTAAATCTATAAAGAAAGAAAATATATTAGGGTTGACTATGACTGAGGGTAGGAATAGGGATTAACTGCAAATAGGCATAAGAGTTTTTTTTTTGTGGGAGTTTGGGGAGAGTGATGGAAACATTCTAAAACTGGATTGCGGTAATGGTTGCATAACTCTGAAGATTTTCTACAAATCATTAAATTGCACACTTAAAAATGGTAAATGTTATGACATGTAAATTATGGCTCAGTGAAGCTGTTTTTGAAAAATAAGAGCATATTGTTTTAATATATTTTTTGATGTATAGTTGATTTACAATATTGTGTTAATTTCTGCTGTACAGCTAAATGATTCTGTTGTACATATTTATATATTCTTTTCCATTATGGTTTATCATAGGATATTGAATATAGTTCTATGTGTTATACAGTAGGATCTTGTTTAAACATTCTATATATAAAAGCTTACATCTGCTAACATCAACCTCCCACTCCATTCCTCCCCCAAACCCCTCCCCTTTGGCAACCACCATTCTGTTCACTACGTCTGTGATTCTGTTTCTGTTTCATACATAGGTTCATTTTTGTCATATTTTAGATTCCACATATAAGTGATATCATATGGCATTTGTCTTTCTCTTTCTGACTTACTTCACTTAGTATGATAATCTCCAGTTGCACCCAAGGTGCTTCAAATGGTGTTATTTTGTTCTTTTTTATGGCTGAGTAGTATTCCACTGTAAAAATGTACGACATCTTCTTTATCCATTCATCTATCAATGGAGATTTAGGTTTTTCCATGTCTTGGCTATTGTGAAGGTGCTGCTATGAACATAGGGGTGCGTATACCTTTTTGACTTATAGTTTTGTCTGGGTATATACCCAGGACTGGGATTGCTGGATCATATGGTAATTCTAGTTTTAGCTTTCTGAGGAATGTCCATACTGTTTTCCCTAGTGGTTACATCAACTTACATTCCCACCAACAGTGCAGGAAGGTTCCCTTTTCTCCACACCCTCTCCAGCATTTGTTATTTGTAGACTTTTTAATCATGGCCATTCTGATCAGTGTGAGGTGATACCTCATTGTGGTTTTGATTTGCATTTTTCTAATAATTAGTGATGTTGAGCATCTTTTCATGTGCCTGTTGGTCACGTGTATTTCTTTTGGAGCAACATTTATTTAGGGCTTCTGTCCATTGTTTGCTGGGTTTTTTGTTTTTTGTTGTTGTTGAGTTGTGTGAGCGGTTTGTATATTTTGGAAACTAAGCCTTTGTCGGTCATATCATTTGCAAATATTTTCTCCCATTCTGTAGTTTGTATTTTCATTTTGGTTTTGGTTTCCTAGGAAGATCATATTGTATGTACAATTTTGCATCCCACTTTTTTCACTAAAAACCATACCATAAATATTTGTTAATGTCCTTAAAGACAATTCGAAAACATCTTTCTATTTCTTTATATGCCCTTGCCCAAGATTTATTGAATAGTTTCCTGTAGATTGTCTATGAATTTTGAAAATAATGTTTTGTTTAACCTCTTTGTGTGCAGTAACTGTGTGACCTCAGACATGTTAACCTCTCTGAGCTTTAATTTTCTGATAGGAAAACAGGCATAATTAACAGTTCCTATTTCTTAGGACAATATAGCTATCCCGGGCATTATATAAAATCAAGTGTGAAACACTTAGCATGGTAACGACAAAAGCCATCTAGATGTTAGCCATCATTATTGCCATCAGCAAACATTATAAAACTTTAAATTTATGATTATTCCTCAGAATAGAATAACAACAGTGAAATCTCAGGGCTCATTTTTTAAGAAAACACTGCTCTCTAAATTAGAAGTAGGAAAACCCATTCTTGGCTCTTTTCCGCCCCCCTTCATGATACTGGGAACCCAAAATGATTCTTTGGATTCTTGCTCTGATGCTATGGACAGTTCTAGGGCTCTAAGTTTCTTATTTGTCCAACCACAACCCATCAGTCCTGTGATTTCTCTCCTAGTGGGGGATGGACTAAGTGGCCTTGGATAAAAGTATTGAACAAAAATGACCATGGGTGACAATGAATTATATGCTTCCTCATAGGTAACATACTTGCCTCTTCATAAGGATCACTAGAGCCTAAATCTAGAGATGGAACATGGGGTCTTCAAGTTTCTCTAGTAAAGTTGATGGGGAAAATTGTTGGTCACTGAGTGCTCAAATCACAAACCACTTTGCATGTGGTTGTCCTGCCCAAATTCCTTAGTGTGGTGTGCAAGGACCTTAGTTATTTACCCACTATTTATTTCTTCAGCTTCATCTCTTCCTTCACTCTCCCTCCAATGTGATACTAAAATCATAATGTAGGTCTTGCCATTCCCCCCAATGTGCCACACTTTCTCTCCCACAAGGCTTTGTACATCATGTTTCCCTGCCTTGAACCCTCTGTACCTATCCCTACTCCCTTTATTTGACTAACTCCTACTTATAATGCTGGCATCATCTTAAAAACTACATCTTCGAGAGACCTTCAAGATGGCGGAGGAGTAAGACGTGGAGATCACCTTCCTCCCCACAAATACATCAAAAATACATCGACACGTGGAACAACTCCTACTGAACACCTACTGAACGCTGGCAGAAGACCTCAGACTTCCCAAAAGCTTTGTTTTTACCATTTGTCCTAGGGTTCTGTCTATTTATTTTTTTTAGTGTAGCTTTTAGCGCTTGTTACCATTGGTGGATTTGTTTTTAGGTTTGGTTGCTCTCTTTCTTTCTTTTTTTATTACTTTTTTATTTTTAAAAATTTTTTTATTTTAACAACTTTATGTATTTTCTTTTCTTTCTTTCTTTCTTTCTTTCTTTCTTTCTTTTTCTCCCTTTTCTTCTGAGCTGTGTGGCTGAGAGGGTCCTGATGCTCCGGCCGGGTGTCAGGCCTGAGCCACTGAGGTGGTCATGAACCTAGGGGCAGGAAGGCAATAAAGATGCAGACCTACTAGAGAATGGACTTGAGGACACAGGGACAGGGAAGGGTAAGCTGGGACAAAGTTAGAGAGTGACATGGACACATATACACTACCAAATGTAAAACAGACAGCTAGTGGGAAGCAGCCGCATAGCACAGGGAGATCAGCTCGGTGCTTTGTGACCACCTAGAGGGGTGGGATAGGGAGGGTGGGAGGGAGGGAGACTCAAAAGGGAGGAGATATGGGGATATATGTATATGTATGGCTGATTCACTTTGTTATAAAGCAGAAACTAACACACCATTTTAAAGCAGTTATACTGCATTAAAGATGTTAAAAAAAAAAAACAACCCAAACACTACATGTTCTTGGAAGTTTTTCTGTTCCGAAGTCCAACTTTCATGCTCCATCTTTAAGCTCCCATGGCACCCTGTCATTACCCTTACTGGATTTGAATTACCTGTTTATTTGCCTTCTCCGTAATCGCATTATGTGGCAGCCATGAGGTTGCGTCACTTTGATCTCCCTTCAAGAAAGAACTTGCTGTTTAACTGGGAGGAGTGCAGTTAGCTGACAGCCTCCAGCTGTTAATGCCTTCAAGATCTGCCCCAGCTTTCAAGCTGAGACCGTGACCTTTTCTGGCAGCCCCAGCCAATGACTGAGCATAATAGCAGCACTAGGCCCAACTCGGAACTCCTTTAGCGGGAAATCTTTCAGTTGGCCAACTTCGTCAGATCTGCATGGTGGTCTCAGGGGCTCTCTGCCTCATCAAACTTCTTCCCTCTTTCCCTTCACAGATGTCGTATCTGCTTTTTGGGCTGAAGGATTTCCCTTCCCAGTCCTGTTTCCTCACCCTTTAACTTTCATGGTATTACTCTCCAGTAAACCTCTTGCACTCCTAAATTTGTCACTGCATGTGCTTTCTAGAGAACCTGACGAACACAGACTCTGAGCTTTTTAAAGGGAAGGACCATATTCTTTTCAAACTGTATCTCTAGCTCCCAGGGCAAGTCACAATAGGATCTCAAAAAAATGATCATGGAATAATTGAATGAATGACCGAACGAATGATTGCTCAAGATAATGGTTAACACTGAATGATGTCTTGATCTTATATAATTCACAGATGCCAGTCAACATTCAAGAACATTCTGATTTGAAGACTCCGTTTCATCCATGAAATGCATTGTAGGAATGACATAATTGTGCATTTTGAGGTGGGTATTTTCCAGTGGTTGGATTTATGCCAAATATATAATTTACCCCTTAAGAGAATCCCATGGGCTAATGTAGTTGAGTATGAGTCATAATTGATATTTGGACTTGAAGTTACACAATAGCTATAAAATTATTGTTTACTATCAAAATAGCAAATTTTAAATATTACTGCTTATGCCTAGAAACCTTGTCAAAAGGTTGCTCTATAAAATGAAATCCGAAGGCATTAAAAGTTTTTCAAAACCTGGGCCTTCTTTATTTGGCACCTGTCACACTACCGTCTGCACGAAGGACCTAGTCCCCCAGTAGATTGTGAACTGCTTCTGGGCAAGCATGCCGGCACTTCTTTGTATCCAATCCCTCCCACCCTAACCTAGCCCCTAGCACCTACTACAGCTGCTTTGTACTGGAAAACAATGGATTTCAAATACCTCAATTGAAATGCAAGCTTCATCACTTACTAATTTTGACCTTCACCTTCTAAAACTCTGCCTTGTTTTTCTCACCTTTAACTCCGTCTCATAAGAATTAGTGAGACTTGGAGATAGTATTTCCTCTCTGCTCCTTTCTCTCTGCTCTCATTCTCTCCTTCCCCGCCCCCATCTTCCTTCTCTCCTCTTTCCCTTCTTTGCTCACCCCTTCCTCTTCTGATTTTTCCTCCCTCCCTCCCTCCCTCCCTCCCTCCCTCCCTCCCTCCCTTCCTTCCTTCCTTCCTTCCTTCCCTCCTTCCTTTTATTCCCCAAACACTTATTAAATATCTACTATGCCAGGTGCTTTGGAAGCAGTGGTGAATAAAGCAGAGAAGGCTTAAGGCTTATGTCCTCCTGGACCCTCACAGTGGGGGTGGAGGTTATCAAAAGTAATTAACCAGGGACTTCCCTGGTGGCGCAGTGGTTAAGAATCCACCTGCCAGTACAGGGGACACGGGTTCGAGCCCTGGTCCGGGAAGACCCCACGTGCCACAGAGCAACTAAGCCCGTGTGCCACAACTACTGAGCCTGCAAGCCACAACTACTGAGCCCGTGTGCCTAGAGCCCGTGCTCCGCAACAAGAGAAGCCACCACAATGGGAAGCCCGCTCACCACAACGAGGAGTAGCCCCCGCTTGCTGCAACTAGAGAAAGCCCGTGTGCAGCAACGAAGACCCAACGCAGCCAAAAATAAAAATAAATAAGTAAAATAAATAAATTTATAAAAAAGAAATAATAATAATTAACCAAGCGAAGGGGTGTGGTGGTCCACAAACTGCCTCCCTCCCCAAAGACGTCCATGTCAAATCCCTGGTGTCTGTGAATGTGACTTTATTTGGAAAAAAAAGGGTCTTTGCGGATGTGATTAGGCCGAGGATCTTGAAATGAAGAGACAACACTGGGTTATCTGGGTGAGCCCTGAATGGACACTGCCAACAGTTTGGGCATCTGGCCTCCAGAACTGTGAGAACACATTTCTATTGTTTTCAGCCAGCAAGTTTGTGATAATTTTTTATATCAGTCACAGGAAACAAACACAAGGGGATATTTATTTTTTTATTTATTTATTTTTTTAATTATCTATTTTATTTACATCTTTATTGGAGTATAATTGCTTTACAATGGTGTGTTAGTTTCTGCTTTATAACAAAGTGAATCAGTTATACATATACATATGTTCCCATATCTCTTCCCTCTTGCGTCTCCCTCCCTCCCACCCTCCCTATCCCACCCCTCTAGGTGGTCACATAGCACCGAGCTGATCTCTCTGTGCTATGCGTCTGCTTCCCACTAGCTGTCTACCTTACGTTTGGTAGTGTATATATGTCCATGCCTCTCTCTCGCTTTGTCCCAGCTTACCCTTCCCCCTCCCCATATCCTCAAGTCCATTCTCTAGTAGGTCTGTGTCTTTATTCCTGTCTTACCCCTAGGTTCTTCATGACATTTTTTTTTCTTAAATTCCATATATATGCGTTAGCATACGGTATTTGTTTTTCTCTTTCTGACTTACTTCACTCTGTATGACAGACTCTAGGTCTATCCACCTCATTACAAAAAAGGGGCTCTAATCTAGACCAGGGGAACTGGGAAATGGCTGTGCATAGACCTTGGTCCTCCCCATGATTTCCTGTCTTCTGTCTCCTATAGCACTTCAGGATAGTGTCTCGTTTTCTAGACTCTACATCCTTTCCTCTCTGTTTGGCCCACTCTCACATTTCCCTTGTCTGGGAAGTTGGAGATGAATTCTTATAGGTCTGATTTGGACCCTCCTTGCTATAGATTCTTTGAGGTCTATACTCCACAGTTCTAGAAGTACACCACTGACCTCCATCAGCCTGGGCATTGACAGAGAGAAGGCACACTTTGCCAGCAGGCAGTACTTCCTAACATAGGACACTGTGATATGTCGTATAAAGGGCACAGGTGAGCATCACATTTTTGTTTCTATTTTTTATTCTATTTTTTGGCCGTACCGCACAGCATGCGGGATCCTAATTCCCCAACCAGGATTGAACCCGTGCTCCCTGCAGTGGAAGCGCAGTGTCCCAGCCACTGGACCTCCAGGGAAGTCCAAGTTCTACGTTTTTATTCAGCTTCTGATACCAATCGATTGTTTGATCTTTGGTGAGACATTTAGGTTATTTATGCTTCAGTTTCCTTATGTGTGAAATGAGGGTTTGGGATGAATTTAACCCTAAAGTTCTCTTCTGGCTTTAAAAATAATCTTCATCCCATAGTCAAATGTTTTTTTACTTTTGTGGAAAAAAAAAAATTTATGCAAATTGACTTGGGATCCTATATAACTAATTCTGTAGATAAGAAGTTCTGAAAGAACATTATCTAAAAGGAACAGGATTTGCAACTCTTAGGTACTGTGTGTCTGTTGGTTTTGCCCAGCCCAGGTAATTCCCCATGTCAGATGTACAGGTAATCACAGGTCTTCAGCATGCTCCCAAAACATACAACTCAAGTCCATCTTTGGGAATTCGTTTTTTTAAAATGCCATGAGTTTCATAGTGTCATGTCTATGGGTAAGCTTAACCAAGTAGTATAAGGTAATTTATTCAACCAGAAGAGGTTCCCCATCATACTTCCTTAATAGGATTGGCAATAATCAGGTACTAGTTGCCTGTGATGGATTATTCATCATTCTAGCAAATCTCTGGATCTGTGCTCCAGGCAGACCGAGTTGAAACATGCCTGTTCTTCCCTCACTCTCTTCTCTCTCTGTCTCTCCCCTACAAGCTATGTGACACTGGATAATATTAGTCACTTATATACATCAACAGGTATATTCATCAAGCAGCCCACTTCTTTGCCTGGCACTGTAGGAATCAGAAATGTACAAGACAGGAATGGTCCATGCCATCAAAGAACTTACCTGTGCAAAGGTAGCCAAGAATTCATGTCAGCAGTAAGGGGCAATATAGGAGTGACTGAATTTGTTGTAGAAACAGAGAGTAGGAAGCAAACACTCTGGTCTGGAATCCAGCCCATGGATGTAAGCTATCCAACTTACCATAGGGATCCTAGCACCTAGCACAGTTTATCCAATAAAGCAAGCACTCAATAGATATCAACTGAATGGATAAATGTATGGTCTTTAGTGGGCAGGGATGGTCAGGAGAAGGTTTCTAGAAGAGAAACTTGAGTTAGGATTTAAAGGATTGAGAGGCATCAGATGATATAAGGCAAGAGGAAACTTCTAGAGGAATATAAGCAAAGCTGCCGAAATAGACTCCGCATAGAGATAAAAGTAGGATTTAGATGCAAAATTAATGCTGAGGTTGATTCTTAAAAGGTTAATGTCCTTTCAGTTCATGGATTATCCATTGTTGAATAGTCAGAGTCTGCTTCTAGCATTTGTTAATTTTGACAGTGGGAACAAGAGGTTCAAGGACCTGGAAGAGATGCACGGCCTCCCTCTGCGGCTGACCTGCAAAAGACTTTCCTAATTGGGTGCCAACATTTTCATGTGTTTCTTAAACTTTCAAATATGTAGTGAGAATCGTTAGTTGGGGGTACCAGATTAGTGTGGCTCTGAGCTGCTTAGCCTGAAGAGGTATTGTTTCATGGTAAAAGGAGCTGGAGTTGTCATCCTACGACTTACGCCATTGAGAATTGTCCCAGGGAGAGGCTATTTTCCAAAATTTTCCTGAAACTTCATAAAGGATGACCAGGACCATGTTCAGGACCATGACTCTTCCTAGCCCTCCTTTATTCTGCTCCTTGGGCTTGGTTCTCTACATCTGAATGTCCAAATCTGGTCTTTCTTTCTTGCTCACATCCTTAATAGTTTTCATGGAGTCAGGTAGCTTAGCAAAGACAAATTAACTATGAAGATGCTCCATTTACGATCCGTATGGTTTCTATTACTCACTGAATCAGAACTAACGTTCTTACTCTACATCAAAACTATCACCAGACCTTTTTTTTTTTCCTTAGATTCCATATATATGTGTTAGCATACAGTATTTGTTTTTCTCTTTGTGACTTACTTCACTCTGTATGACAGACTCTAGGTCCATCCACTTCACTACAAATAACTCAAATTCGTTTCTTTTTGTGGCTAAGTAATATTCCATTGTATATATGTGCCACATCTTCTTTATCCATTCATCTGTTGATGGACACTTAGGTTGCTTCCATGTCCTGGCTATTGTAAATAGAGCTGCAATGAACATTTTGGTACATGACTCTTTTTGAATTATGGTTTAGTGGTAAGACGGGAATAAAGACACAGACCTACTAGAGAATGGACTTGAGGATATGGGGAGGGGGAAGGGTAAGCTGGGACAAAGTGAGAGGGTGGCACGGACATATATACACTACCAAACGTAAAGTAGATAGCTAGTGGGAAGCAGCCGCATAGCACAGGGAGATCAGCTCGGTGCTTTGTGACCACCTAGAGGGGTGGGATAGGGAGGGTGGAGGGGAGGGAGATGCAAGAGGGAAGAGATATGGGAACATATGTATATGTATAGCTGATTCACTTTGTTATAAAGCAGAAACTAACACACCATTGTAAAACAATCATACTCCAATAAAGATGTTTAAAAAAAAAAAGAAACTATCACCAGAGTTCTTTGGACCTCATTCCTGTCCCCTTAACCTACATCTCAGTTTCTGCACTTGTATATTTGCATAATGAAAAGTTAAATATCAGAGTGTCTATAGGGATGCAGTTTGGTCTGTAGAACATTGACTTCAAAGCTGAAGACCTTTGTTTGAGACTAGATTCTGTCACAAATGAGCTATCTGGCCCTCCCTTGTCTAAGCTTCATTTTTCACCATGGTAAAATAGGAAGAATAATACTTAACTTGCTATCCTCACAGGATTATGGAGAAGAATCTAGTGGGATCATGCATGGGACAGCCTTTGTAAAATGTAAGGTACGTAAAGATGTAGAGAAGTTGTTTTCATTTTCGAGTCTTCTCTCAGTATATGGCGGTCTCAAATTACTAAGTATTTCTATTCCATTGTACAGATAGCTACTGAAATCCTAAGACTTTCATAAAACCTGAGTCAGGTAAGTGTTGATGACGTCTCTTGAATTTCACAATCTCAGAATTTGCTTCTATAGCTTCTTATCTTTTATGCCAATCTCTAAATGTCCTCTTGCCCCTGTGACTAACACTCTGGAGCGCTCAATTATATCTGTCGAATTAACGTATGAATGACTCAATGTCTATTAGTTAAAATAGCCTAGGCTATGCTTCGATAACAGATAAGCTCTGAAACCTCAGTAAGTTAGCCCAGTAAAACTTTATTTCTCACTCATGTTAAATCTGATACAGATCAGTGAGGCAGGGGGAGGCCTCCAGTGACTCAGAGGGTCAGAGTTTTTCTGCATTGGATCAAAACATGGTTTCCAAGATTGCGGCAGGGAAGGAAAAGAAAGATGGAGAAAGCTCAGAGGGTTCAACTGGCCTGGCCTAGACATGACAGATGTCATTTCCACTCACAGCCTATTGGCCAGAACTAATCATAGAGACCAACCAAACTGCAAAAGAGGCTACAGAATTCAGGGGAGCAAATTCTAAGTGCCAAATTATTTGCTGAGCGCTAACCTCTCTGCAGAACAATGCCCTCCATCTCAACAAGAGTCTTGCCCATTACATTTCAGATACTGTTCTGGGCACAAGGAAACAGCAGTACGTAAGACAGACAAATTCCCTGATTTCGGAGGGTAGGTTGAGGTGAAAGAGTGAAAACATTCTGGCTGCACTCTCATTTTACAGTATCATGTATTGATACTATCTATTCTTCCACTTCAATTATTGTTTATTCTTCTACTTGTGCTATTTTCAAGGGTGTCTACGTTTTTGAAAGAATAGAACCAGGGCCACTCTGATAGCTCTGTGCTCTTCCCTAGGGAAATGAGACTTGCTTCTCTTGCTTCTGCTGGTCATGAGGTTCAAAAGCCCCTGTGGTTTCAGCTGGGTGGAGGGAAGGGGGAAGGAAAGCTTGGAAGCAGCGCCTTCCAGCTGGACTTGTTTAGATTGGCACAGTCTCTGTAAGCAGCCATGACTCCAGAGCTGCTGGAAAATGTGCTTATCGCCCTAGGGGGTTGAGCAGGAAGGGGAAGGTCCCAGCTGATAGAGGCTGAAAGAGAGCTAATGGAAACGGGCTTCAGCCTTTCTGTGGGTAAGCAGGAGAAAGATATGGGGTCCAGCTTCAGGGAATGAGCAAGCCGTGATATTATTTTCACTATCCTAGCCAGAGAGAAAGGAAAACTATTGTTAGTTTTCGTTGGATGAATGGGAGAAATATGCAATTATGTTTCCTTCTCTGCTAGTTTCTTGTGACGGTCCTTTCCTTCTATCACTGGAGTTCCCTTCAGCTTAAAGGAAATATTTTTTATCTACCAAAACCCTGACACCAATCTCTGGGCTGACTTCACCCAACATGATTTGTTCCTCTAATGCAGACTAGCATTTGTTGATTCTCTGCACTGCACCACTTACACTAGATATTGTTAGCATCCCTGTCTACCACCTCTATCTCCAGTTTACCTTCTGTCACATGGGCAGAAAGCTAAAAACTACATTCCCCAGTCTCTCCTTGTTGTTAAGTCTAGTTGCAATGTAGGATCTGTCAATGAGATGTACTCTCGTGAGATTGGAAAGTGGAAGGGAGAAGTACCATCCTCTTCAGGGCTGGCGCTGGCTGATGCACACACGATCATCAAATGGGAGTTCGTGCAGGGACCAGGGAAGCCGGTCTGGGAATGAGATTTGAGGCTGTGGAGCAGCTGTGATGGTGAAAGTGCCCTCCTGCAGCTTCCTGAACTGGAGGTGGCAGCTGCAAGAGAAGCCTTGAAGCCTAGGGGTGGCCCCTGTTTTCAGTTCCTGCTGTCCTTCCTGCAATTTTGTACCCACTTATTTCCCTACTTTAAGTCCTATTCTGCTTGAAATACCTAGGGTGGTTTCTATTTCCTGCGCTTATTTCCTGACCTATGAGGTACTGCTATACACCATCTCACTTGGATATTCATTGGCTATAGCCGGCCTAAGTCACTCATTTGCTATTGGGTAGTCAGGAAACACCTTCTAAGACCCATGTTCTTATCACCACTCCATGCTGCCTCCTTCCTTATCATTCAAGGCTCAACTTTCACCTCCATTCTCACCCTGCCTCTGATTCCTCCATTCCAAGAAGATGTCTGTCCCATACCTCTTCTTGTTGATTCATTTTGCCTAATGTTGACACTTAACTTTCCTCTCTAATCTTCATTCCACAAAAAGAAAAAAAAAAATTATCTCCAAGGGCAAGAGAAATGCTTTCTACTACTTCTGCAACTACCCCTCATGTGTATTCTTTTTTTTAACTTAAAAAAAATTTATAGAAGTATAGTCGATTTATTATGTTGTGTTAATTTCTGCTGTACAGAAAAATGTTATACATATATATATATATACATTCTTTTTCATATTCTTCTCCATTATGGTTTATCACAGGATATTGAACATAGTTCCCTGTGCTATACAGTAGGACCTTGTTTATCCATTCTCTATATAGTAGTTTGCATCTGCTAATCCCAAACTCCCAATACATCCCTCCTCCACCTCTCCTCTCCCTTCGAAACAAGTCTGTTCTCTATGTCTGTGAGTCTGTTTCTGTTTCGTAAGTAAGTTCATTTGTGTCAAATTTTAGATTCCACGTTTAAGTGATATCATATGGTATTTGTCTTTGTCTTTCTGACTTACTTCACTCAGTATGATAATCTCTAGTTCCATCTATGTTGCTGCAAATGGCATTATTTCATTCTTTTTTATGGCTAAGTAATATTCCATTGAATATATGTAGCACATCTTGACTCATCTGTCATTGGGCATTTAGGTTGCTTCCATGACCTGGCTATTGTAAATAGTGCTGCAATGAACATTGGGATGCATGTGTCTTTTTGAATTACAGTTTTGTCCGGATATATGCTCAGGAGTGGGATTGCTGGATCATATGGCAACTCTATTTTTAGTTTTTTTGAGGAATCTCCATACTGTTCTCCATAGTGGCTGTACCTATTTACATTCCCACTAACAGTGTAGGGGGCTCCCTTTTCTCCACACTCTCTCCAGCACTTGTTATTTGTAGACTTTTTAATGATGACCACTCTGACCAGTGTGAAGTTGTACCTCATTGTAGTTTTGATTCCCTCATGTGTATTCTTAATATTTGTTGGATGGCACTATGCTAGCTTGTAGAGCATAAGGACACAGCACAGCGGGAGAACCTCTGTTCTTCAATTTAAGCTGATACTTCTCCTACCACCTGCATAACCCAATGTCTATAGGGCAATGACAAGCATTACTGGAAGTGGGAATGCATGTTCTGGTGGAGGAAGAACGCTTATTACCAAAGAAATGGAGGAGAAGAGGAGGCAGAAAGAAACTTGTCGAGGAATGTGTTCAAACCGGAAGCCCTGGGTTTTCTTCTTTGCTGACTGATCACACTTTTACTTTACATTTCACATCTCCTCAAGACTCCTGCCATTATTTCACAGCAGGCATCAAAGTGGCTCCCCCTCCCCCAATTTACATAGCTGCAGATGGGCTAGCAGAGCCAGATTCAGGAGCAAAGACATCAGCTGTGCATACCACCAGGTTTTCTCAAAGGGAAACCTCAAATTAACTTTCAAAGGTTAAAGGAAACTTGCCAGTCTGGAAGCTGCTGGAAAAATCCAACACATACTTAATTTCTTTCCAATCTAAGGGGAGAGCCTAAAGGATGGAGAAGCTATACCTCATTGGATCGAGAACACCAGGGAAATCAGAACTCAGTGGTGAGCATCTGGATTTGCAACTGGAAAAAGTTCTCTCGGTAGTAAAGTTCGGTCTTCCCCTTAAATTTCACCTTGTGACTTTCCCATTAGATCTGTTCCATAGGTTTGGTACTGGTTCTGGCCCTTCAGTTCCTGAGAACTGATGTGAGCATCAACAGAGAAGACAGCTTCAGATTGAAAGGACCGGGCAGGTGAACAGAGTGGGGGTGGGGAGGGGGAGGGAAAGGAAGGAGGAGGAAGGAGGGTCCTGGGTACACACGGAGGAAGAAAGCAGATACAAAGAACCTTCTTGCAATGGAAAGAAAGATCCTTGTCCAAGCTCCTTCAAGGCCCAACCTGACAAACTCTTATAATATTCACTGTTTAGATCTCTAACTTTGTATGGACCAGCTGGCAAGTCCTTTAGGATTGTTTGTAGTTTGTTCCTGTGTATACTTGATTTCACAATTAGACTGCCCGCTCCTCCAATCACTTCGCCAGTCGTTTCTGTGTGGTCTCTGGACCAGCAGCACCGTCACTGGGGGGCTTGTTGGAAATGCAGGATCTCAGGCCCCACTCTAACCATGCTGAATCAGAACCTGCACTTGAACAAGATCTCCATATGATTCGTGTGTCCAGTAAAGATTGAGAAGCAGGGCCCTGCGACTCCAGAAATTAACAAGGAAATGAGAGCGACAGTGAGTGAGAGACTGAGCTTGCTCTCAGGACGTTGGTATAAAGGAATGTGCTCCATACCTTGAGACACTGATAGAGGTTAAGCAATAAATAAGCTGGTGGTGGGCTGTCACAAACTAGGAAAACCTGGTTATACTCTAAGCCAGTGGGTTCCAGTTTAGTGTGTATCAGAATCACTTGGAAAGCTTGTTAAACCATAGATTGCTGGATCCACCCCCTTCCAGAGTTTCTGATTCAATAGGTCGAGGGTGGGCCTGGGAATCTGCACATTCCTAGGTGATGCTGGTGGTACTGATCCAGGGACAACACTTTGAGAACGACGTCCCTAAGCAATAAAGATATTCAGATAAAATAATCACCCTTCTACAAATTATTTGGGATCATTACGATCTCAAATCCCACACTGAGTTTGCCATGGGAGACCAGACCACTTTACAGTTACTTCCAGAAAGAGGCCCTCGTGGGAAAGCCCTGATGCATTTTGACCAGCTGTGTTGGGTTGCCAGCCAATTACGAGGAAAGCTAGAATGGTCCTGCTTTCCCAGCCGTGTTATCCAGCAAACCCAAAGACAGTACGTTAGTAAAGAAAATTGTACAGATGAGACCCGGAAGCTGCCATTTCATTGGGGAAGGTTTTGTCTTTTCATTACAAGAGAAAGCTCACATTTCCCATCTCTCTCTTCTCCAGAAGTAGGCAAG